GCTAATTTTTGGAGGTGGGGACGGTGAAGAGGAAGGGGCACACTTCTAGGTTAACATCTTTGGGTTTGTATTTCCCAAAAACTGACAACAAAATTTGAGATGCCTATGTCCTGATCCTGTGTTACAGGCCCTAAGGTGGCTTTGCATGTCTGTGCTTGCATGTACATTCAAGACAGAATGACTGACTCAGTACCTAGCCGAATGCTGCTCCTCCTCACAGTCTGCAAAGAGATAAAAAAGGACACACTGGTAGGTAGCTTCAGTCAGTCCTGCTTCTCTCCACGCATCTCAAAGGGAGGAAAGGACAGAAATACCCCATGGGCAGTCTTAATTCTTCCTCGAAGTCTTGAATGTTGGTTGGCACAGCAAGAGGCTGGAATACAGTCCTGGGTTTTCAGAATAGCTTGAGGCCTCTCAATAATATAAGATTTTTATACAAGCAGAAAAATATGTATGGGGTATCTGGAGCTGCTCCTCACAAACTCTCCTCAATATTACTTCCTCAGCTATGAAAGAAAATCAAAACAGAGTGTGACAAATTGCCCCATGTAAAATTAGCACAGATTCCCCTGTGTCACTCTCTTGCTTTGCAGTTCCTAGCAGGAAGAGGCAAGAAAAGAAAGGACCTATCTGACTCCCTGCTGTGTGAGGGGGTCAGCCTTGAGGAATGAGCCTCATGCTGCCCTCCTGATGTCATGTCCATTTGAAAACCCAGACAAAACAGCGATGCAGGAAATACAGCAAGAGGAGTTACCACCAATCCCACTATTTGGGGCTTCAGAGCATCCTCCTGGAAGGTGACAGAGAGTTTCTAGTTTAGGACAGGCATACTTTAGGTTACGTTAATCCAGATATGCCCTGTCTGCAAGGCTCAAATAAGAAAATCAAGTTAAAAAAAAAGAAATAGTTTTCATTGCTGTTTATAGATTGGGCTTTCTGTACTTTGTCACAGTAGTGGACTGGGCCTGAAAACCAAGAACCTTGGCATGGGATTTGGCACATCAAGTACGACACCTTATCATGATACTGTGTACAGGTCTCAATGTGTGTGCTGAGGTGTGAGTTGGGTATCTAAGCTCCCTATGACCACTGTCAATATATCCAGAGGACCCCAGAAAGTATCAGCTTCTTCTGAAGCAAACACCTACTTCTGGTGCCTCAACAGTGATCCTGTCTTAAATGGTAGAATTCCACAGACTGTAATGGGACCCTAGACACCTGAGGCACATGTAGGCACCTGTGTTCAGATGGTATCAGATATGAGATGACTCCCAGCTGATTCAGTTACCTAAAAATAGGTACCTGGTGCGATATGAAGAAGCCTGAAGTACTCTGCCTTTCTCTCATCTGTCACTCTGGAAGACCAGAAATCTTTCACAGGTCCTTTGTCGTTCCTGCCAGTCCCACGCAAATACATTTTATGGACACTCCTGGCTTTCTAAAATATCAGTGAAAATTTATGTTTAGGTAAATGACTCAAGTTCCCTTACTAGTTTTGTGTGTTTGTGGAAGACTGGAAATACAGAGCTCAAAATGGCATCACTGCTGTTTCATTGCTGGCCAGGGTGGATAGATAATGGAAAATCCCAGACAATATTTATCCTGCAGCAAAAGCCAATGGGATCATTGCAGAGGAACTGGCTGTTGGCAGAAACTATGTCAGCCTGGAGCTGCCTCTGGGCAGCTTGTCATTACTGGCATTGCTGATCTGTCTGGGTTTGGGGCTGATCCTAGTGCCTAGTGTCACAAGACCATAGGAGACAGCATGAGGCTCATCACTCTGCAGTCCACAGGGCAGTGGTGCTGCTGGAGAGTTCTGAGCCATGCTTACTACTCCTGGGACATTCAAATACCAATTACTTGGTGGAACTTTTACAGAAAATTAGGAGCAAACTGTAACTGATGCTGATTGTTAAATACCACAAGGCATACTGGGAAATCAGATGCATTGAAAGCTCTTTTTTTGAGTGTTTTTCTCTTCCTAGCAGCTTCACTGCCCACAACACTCCTGGTTGATTTTTAACCAATTAACTGGGCAACAGGGTGGAATACCTACCAGAGTTACTTGTCCTCTCCTCCAATCACTGTGGCATGCAGCACTGTTAGTAAATGTGCATTGCAAAGGGTATTGATGACCCACAGTCAAGGCCGTGCTTACAAAGGGTGTTACTCATGGAATTCAACCTTCACGCAGGGGTGGATCAGCTGGTTTGGACCACTCTTGGTATTACCAGGTATGTGTCGTTGCTTCACAGACCACAGGAAGCTGTTTGCTCAGGCATAAAACTGTGTTGACACAAAAGCACTTCTTTCTGCTTAGTTAGGACCTGTTATAAAACCTTCTGATCTCAATGGACAACTTTCCCTTGCTTCTAATCAGCTTTGCCTCAGGTTTTACATAAACATTCATTTCCAAGCTCTGATCAGGGACATTCTTAAGTTTTCTAAGTTATTTGTGTAGATGCCCAGAAGTCTTCTGCTGGTCCAAATCCCTGCCTGTGCTTTGCCTCCGTGGCCTTGCCCTACTGTTCCTCTTTTCTTCCTACTCCTGCTGCTGATGCCTGGCTCTGCATCCTCTGAGCCTATCTTCTGTAGCTGAAGGATGGGAACTGTGCTTCAGAGGCATGTCACACTTCCAAAAGCTTTTGATGATTTTTGAGTCCACTGGATGATCAGTTCACTTGAGGAAAAAAAAAATTGTAACACCTTTCACATGTTTCCAGGCTTCTGTCTTTTGAATGACAACATCCATGTGAGAACAGCTGGAACAATGGCAAAACTATTCAGTGGAGTGCCATAAATTGGTGCAGGCATACCATGGAAATTATATTACAGAGATTTGTATTCAGAGCTGCCCAAAAGAGATGTTTTCATCCTTCTCCAATGAATTGTCCTTGCCTTCTCCTTTGCTCTGCAGCAGAATGATATTCCTCACCTGTGAGTATTGACGTTAAGAGAGAGAATGTGTCTTTCCTTTAAATCTGCACTACAGCAGTCAAACAGAGCAGAGGAGAACTGCAGGTCCTCCCAGTTCTTAGGAATGAATACATCCACTGCCTCGAGAAATGAGAGTTTTGGGGGAGAAGGTCTATTCTCAGCAGCATGCTGATTCAGAAGGGGGCTGTTTCATTTCATAAGAAGAGAAGAAGATTGCAGCAAAGCTGTTGACAATGAAAGGGTAAAATAAATGTTTTTCAGCATTTCTTTAAAGTGTGTTAACACTGGAAGGTTTGGGGTTTTAAAATAATGTAAGCATTTCTAGGCGAATGGTAGTATATTGGTGTAAATTGTGTTAAGATTTCACTTATAGAAGGGGGTTTTTTGCTGATATAATAGATTCAGAAGCAATTATTCAGTTGTTCTTAAATAGAATATGGATATGTAATACAGAATATAGGTGATGAATCAATGGATTTTCTATAAATATGTCTGACAACTGCTGATATAATTCACTGTTCTTTTCTGTAACTTGTTTCTAATACATGCTAACATTTTCAATCAATAAAAGAATATAATATAATGTGGAATCAACATACTAACCAATGTAAATGACAGATATTGGAGTAGTAATAATTCATCTTTAGACCTCACACGGTGTCCACTGAAATTTGTGACATGCTTCCTGTTGACACCTGTGAATTGTGGGCAAAGCCAAAATAGTTTGAGCTGCTGATCTGTAGAAGAGACACATACACCCCTGAAGGTCTCTAGGAGTCAGCAAGCAAACTAATTTTTACCTACTTCAGAGTGCAAGACCAGACAAGAGGCTGGCCTCATTGTGTTACCTCCCATTGTATTACCTCCATGGCACATGTTGTACTGGAGGAATTTATCAAGTGCCATACATAGAGGAGGAAGAGAATTATGTGAAATATATTTAGACCTTCAAGACATGTTGAACAAGAAACACGTGTATGCACATATGGCCGATTTAAATGCACTGAAATGGCTGACAGCTCTTGCTTCAGCCCATCCCCCTTATCTGATGCAGTACAGCCCCTGGAAACTCATTGGAAAACCTTGAGCTCCAAACAGCCCAGGTCAGAGGGAGGCCAGCTCTCACCCCTTCTGTTCAAGCCAGGTGAGACCAAAAGCCTAGGTCCATGCTGAGGAAGTCTAGGTGCCATTGTCTCTGAGGTATAAGTGTGACCCTGTTCTGCAAAGTGGGCAGTTTGTCCTTGTGTCCCTGGCCACCTAGAGCCCAAGTGGAATAAAGGGGTTTTGCCCATGTCTGGAGACAGAAGGACAGGACCCTATAATAGCACACTACAGTGACTAGCCACAGCTTGTGCTCATTTCACACAGCTGAGGCTTTTTTTAAAAAAAAAGGATTAAGAGTGTCCAAACCCCAAACAATGTGAGGGCCTGCTTCAGTATGGCTGGAAGATTATTCCAGCTGTTTCAGGCTGGGAGCCTGAAAAAGCAAAGCTTGCCTCCCATAGTCAGTGGAGCTCCAGACACTTGGACATGAGCAGCTTGGTTTAAGCAGAGGGCAGACTGGCGGCTAATGCTAGATAAAAGGACACAAAACAGCACTGTAAATAGGAAGGGAACAATTATAAATCTTAAAAATACCCTTCAGAAAATGCATAGCTGCTGTTCAGTTGCTAGCTGCTGGATCATTTGTTCTGCTTACAGCTTTCCATCCATTTATTTTCCCTTTCTTTTTATAAGGACAAACACTGAATATACAGCACAGCCTGCTTCAGCCAGGACTAGAGGCCACGGGAAGCAGTGGTGCCTCTGGGCGTTGTTCTGGCAGCCTCCTGAGCCAGAAGCAGGGAACCTACTGGGACAGTTTGTTCCCTGCTGGCTGCACCGGGAGCTTAAAAACATGTTTATGTCGAGTCAGCAGGAGCCGCCCAGGCTGGTCACGCCACTGCTCTCCCTCCTTTTCCAGGCTGCTGGAAGGAACTGCATCAAAGTCCAAGCCCATATTTGTCTGTTCCAGGTGCTGCCTGCAGTTTGCTCCTGCCTGCCTGAAGCCACTTCCCTACCATCTCACCAGTGCACCCAGGTCACCTGAAACCGAAGGGCAGCCAGGGCTGCCTCTCTGCCCCTCTCCCTGCCCCATGTTGGAAAGGGCAGCTCTCCCTGTGCTCAGGCTGGTGCCAGCAACCAGGCAGAACTCAGTGCCATTTGATATCAAACCCTCTCACACTCACAGCATGGCCAGGCAACAGCAGAGAGTGTGTCCCAGTCAGCTGATAAAGGAGCCCTCCTTCTTGATCTTCTACAGGCAGGATGCAATCCCTGTCAAAGCTTAAGAGGACACCAAGTGTGTAACTCAGGTACGTCTGAATAGCACGGAGGTGCTGTGTCAGGGGCCCCACAAGAGGGGACCGTGATGGCCACAGCACAACCTGTCAGGTACCAGTGGAGCTTCAAACAGCTGGAAAGAAAAGTAGGAGAGAACTGGGTTACAGAGACCTCTGTGATCCAGCTCTCTGCAGCTGAGTCAGGGTCTCTTGGATGCCTCCATCCAAGCTTGCTAAAGCCACCTGTCTGCCTGGGCTGCGGTTGTACATGTGTCTGTTTATTTGCCCACTGTTAAGGTTCCCCTGAGAGTCCTCAGCTGCCCCTGAGGACAAGTGCAGGAGAAAATGCTTGGGTTTGCCTTGAACTTGCAGTCACTGCAGTGGGAATCTGCTCTCCATAGAGCATCTGCAGCCCACACTGGTGGCTTATGAATCCTTTGTGCCAGGAAGAGGCCTTTGAGTGTGCCTGAGGGGGAAGGGCATACAGGAACACTGACTGTGACCAAATGGAGTCTTGTGGTATAATAACATTCAAGTATCACAAGTCATAGTTCACAGCCCTCAAAGTGCTGATTCTCATTGTTAAGTAAACAGTGTTTAATTGTCTTGTTTTACATTAAATTTCTTTTATTCTTTTTCTAATTTGCTGTAGAACTTCACCTTCGAATGTGCATGGCAACTCTCTCAGGTTTATTGAGACACTCGCAAGATCCTCAGTGAAGGGAAGGTCAGGACTGTGGGAGAAATGAACCCAGATGACAAACTGAAGTCCAAATTTCCAGCAAGGTATCTTTCTGAGCTGCTGGCACCACAAGGTATGGTCACCATGGACACAGGCTGACAGAGTGCCCTTGAGTTCAGGACAGCTGCACGCCTTTTCCCCAGAAGTAAACTTGGAAACAGCAGGATAGACTCACAAAAGGGTTGGCTCAGCCTTTGGGATGTAGGTGTAATTCAGTGGACTTTGCTGTCACTGGGTCTTTAGGGACAGTTTTTCTCTGCATGAATGTTAAAATATTACTTTTTGCCATGAAATGGCTTTGCTCTGACTGCAGTGATGTCTCTTTGCCGGTGCTTTCCAGAATGCTGTGTGCTTGTAGCCAGCTTAGGCACTACCCTGTCCTGCAGCAATGTCTGTGTTTTCATACTGTGTGAACCAATGGCCATATATTTATAAGGCACACAGTTCTGTCCGCTCTTTTATAGTGCATTGTTTTAGACTTTCTGTGTGTATTCCTGCTCTTTTGTTCCTGCACCTTCTTCCTCAGACCTTAGCAGTGATATATTCTTAGTCTCTAACCAATTAGTGATTTTTGTAGGGTTATTAGAAATAGTTAAAGATCTCTATTCTCAACCAGAATTGTCTGGATTCAAACCTATTCCTTCCCACAAATAACCAGCAAGCTTACAGCTATACTGAGGCAGTGCAACTCCACACATACAGTCACTATTGGCATAAAATAACTCAGCGCTAATTGCAGTATCAACAGCCTGAGCAGCCACACCAACTGCACTGTTATGAAGCTAAAGCATGGTGTGCTTCTGGCACTAGGCAAAAGGCCGATACCAGCATTGCCAGTCAGCACCAGCTTGAAAGAACAAAACTGAACGGTTCATCAGTGGTGTAAAAATCATCACATGCCCTGATGTCCTCATTTCGAATGCCTTAATTGTAATTTAGCAGCATTCCATAGGGTGCCTGTGCAAGGTAAAGGTCAACACACAGCTGCCACATGCTAAGAAAATGTTAACTGTGTATTAAAATCAAACAGGTCATTGGAATGCATGATATTCATCATCTCTTTCCACTTTGTGTCTTAGGAAGCTTGAGATGCATTTGCAGAAATAGAAAGAAACAAATTTCTGAGCAGCCAACTGATTTCATCTGACAGTTGCTGTATATAGCAATCTTTTCTGACCCACTTGTCTGCTGTACCAGAGGTCCCTGCCGTTCTACAAATAGAGCCTGTGGTGGATCTTTCACTACTTTAATATAATTCTTGGGGAGGTTAAGGTGTCAGACACTAGCTAGGCTTTGGCATCTCTGCTAATAGCATGTTCTGCACTATCATTTAGTAGAAGTGCAAACCCTAGGGATTACAGGGAAATTCTACTGCCATATCCTGAAAGTAATGGAAATATTGCTGCATCTGACCCATCTGTATCTTGTAGTGTTTCAGAAAAGCAACAGCAGCCCTTCAAGAGCCCTGCAAACCTTCCAGCACCTTGAAAACCTGTCATGCCTCTTTGGCTTCTCAGAGTTTAATAAAGGTACATAATAGCATAGGCCACCCCAAACTGTTTCAATCTTCCTTTCAATCTTGAAGACTGAACTCTCGTATGTTTAATTTAAAGGTATTTGTCCTGTGAGCAAAATCTGCTGCCAGAAGCATTAGTGTGCTTTCAAAGGACGTTCCTCAAATACGAATGAGCTGAGTCCCTGTGAACATTTTAATAGATCCAGCAGTGCTGGAAGCTAAAAGTAAAGCTGCCACCTTTCATGTCCAACCAGAACTTTTCCCCTGCTGCTTAATATTTTTGTTCCTGGCATTTTACAAAAATAGTCAGTCTTGCTCAGCCTGGGAGATTTGTATAAATTCATGTTCACAACAGTTAACTTGATTCTGTCAAAACTGGTGTATATGCTGTAAGATATTGCCCCTTGGAAAGATAGGAGATGCTTTTTCAAGATGGTAAGTGTCTGTGAATAAGTAAAATTTCATTGATGCCAAAACACTTATGGGAACTTATTTGTTTCAGCTTGATTTGTGTTGAAAACTCCAAGTGAAACCAGGTCAAAGATTTTGACTGGGATCTCTGCAGTTCTCCTCACACCTGCCAATATGCGCACAGACCCATGGAGAGCTGCCAGAATCAAAACAGGTATTTCAACACCATTCTGCTTTCATGTAGTCGTGAGGTTTGGTCCAAATCCTTACAAGATGATGCAGACAGCCTCATCATCCTCCACAGAGCCCTAGTGACAATGCCATATAACAGCATGAAAAGGGACACAGACAACCCAACCCCTTTCTCTGCTGGCTTTGCAAATGCTAAGGACAGAAAGACATGAAGTCCTGGCTGCCTGTGCCAGGTGGCCTAATGCCCTATATTTTGCTTTGGGCTTTGAACCTTTTCCTCTTTATAAGGCAAACTCATATTCATGCAGTCCATTATGAGAAAAGCAAGGGATGTGGAAGCAGCATCCCCTTGTGCTGAAGGTCCTGAGGCTGAGTATTGCTACCATTCAGCCATTCTGATCAGGAAGCTTGTTTTTGGAGTAGAGGTGGGTGACACTGATTTTTAAGTACCGGTAATGAACATATGGACAAAACTGGTATCATGTTCTAGGACCACTCTGTATGCAGAACAGCTGTTGATACTTATCCAAAGCCCCCTTTCTGGAGAGAAGATCTACTTAGCACATCTTTCAGCCTTGTGCAACCTTCTGGTCTTGATTCCACTGCCAACAGCAGCACTGGGAAACTAGACTGTCTCAAGGACAAATAATGAAAGTTTTAAAAATGTTGGCTGAAGGCTGAGCGGGAACTGGTCAACATTTACTGCTTTCTCTTCCAATGTCCTGAGATGATGCTCTGCAGGCTCTGGATCCTCTTCTTGTTGGCAGGACAGGCAGCAATGTTGGAGAGCTAAATCAACCAACCTCTTCTGGACTCATTGTTCCAGTATCTACTCTATTTTAAGTACGAATAGACATTTAAAGCTTTTGCAGAGAAATACAGTCCTGAATGCTGTTAGACTTCAGTTTCACTTAGGGACTCTCCACAAACAAATTATTGGAGTTTTGAGTCAACCTGAATCCAATAGGGCATCAGGAACTAAGTTTAAAATTATTGCAAGAGCACTTTACAAAGAGGATGTCCATATTTCCATTCAGCTGAGTTATGGCTCTGCACCGGCCCACAGACACACTCAGAGTGTCCCTACAGTCATAGAAGGGGTAAGTTTTTTTGTCCACAATGCATGTGGCTTGAGAACACCTCCCAAAAAAGCATGAGAACCAAACCCTAGAATCTCAATGTTATCCATTGAGAAGTCATTAAGGGAGCTGTGGGAAAGAGCTGCCAATAGGAAGTGTAGTTCATTCTTTGTGCCCATCTGTGCTTTAAATATTCTAATAGGCTGTGGAATGCAGTGGAAATGTTTCAAACATGGCTACATCTCTACTGGGAAGCCCAATAGCAAAAAGCAATCTTCTCATTTCACAGAAGATACCAAAAAACCCTGAAAACATTTTTCTGTCCTTTTAGGTCATGACTGTGCTCAAACATGTGGTGTAGAGGTCTCTCATTATTTCCATGTGCAACCATCCAGTCTGATGCAGCTTTGAAAACATAAAAGCATGATCAGAAATTATATGGCAGTATGAAATTTCAAGACATCTCCATTAAGTCATAATAATAAGACTGTGTATCCCATGAATTTAATAAAAGATGATATTAATATCAGGTATTCCCACTCCTCTCATGAGCTACTCCATCTGGTGTGTAGGAATAGAGTACAGCAATTGAGGAAAAAAAATGCTAAAAATACTAACAAATACTAAGGTTTGCTTACTCTTGGTCTTCCTAACTTCAACAACAGAAGCAATTAAAGTGCATCAATCAGGACATTTTTTTCTGTGACTGGGATATTCACCAGTGTTTTTAACAGCTTGCAAATTCCTATGACTATAATCAGACTGATCCCACTGTGCTCTCTGTCAGATACCACAATGGCTATAATCTGGCACCTGCTTGGTACAAAGCTTGGAAGTGAGCCTGGGTGCCCACAGAATAAAAATTAAGCATGTTCGCTACAGAAGGGGAGGATCAGAGGGAATTTAGGAACACTAGTGACAGCCTTTTTATTTCCCTCTCAGCAAGAGAGTCCTGGCTAAGACAGGTCAGAAAACAGTGCTGTTGTTCTGCCTTAAACATCTCTCTTCCAGAGGCAGAATTCAGAAGCAGCCAGCATGGGGACGCATTCCCAATAAAATCATGTACCTCCATCTGTCTCTTCTGGACTGCCCATCTTGCCCCATTGTCAGACTGTTAGAAAGCAACAAATGCTTTCTTACCCTGACCAGTTGGCAAATTCTCTTCCTCATGCCTGACTTAGATAGATACATCACTTAGAAAAGCAGTGGGTTTAGATAACCTACCCTTTTTTATCCTTTCAAATTCACTGGTTTTCCTCAGTGCAGAATTCATTGGATGCCATTGACCTGGAGGTAACTCAAGCAGATTTTTCAAGACAACCTGCCCCAGATGCTGATCATTCTGCCCAGTAAACTACTGTAGTGGTAAACTACTGTAATGTCTCTGACAGACATATCTCTGCAGCTGTAAGGAAATCTCTCATCAGTTTATTGACATACAGGGACCTATATTACAGTTTTATCCACATAAGAAAGCATTTACTCATCGTCTGTGTTGGCTTTGAAATTCCTTATTGGAATTGGAAACTGCTAAATAGCAATCTTCATTGCTGTCTAGCTAAACATAGGCAGACCCATGAATTGGATGTTCTCCTAACAGAGCATACAAGCTTTAATTAATGAAAACTGAGATGAAAGGAAAGAGAAGCAATTTGTAACACTAAATCTGCACATTTCTTCAAATGCTTATTGCCATTTTGTGAGACATAGAGACACTTGAACAGCTTGGCTGCTCCTGTTTGGCTGGGCCTCTCTTGTAAAGACATAGTGATAGCAATGAGGACTGACAGCTTCACAGTCAGAGGTGCAATGAGAAGTCAGGAGTTACTGGCTCCCAATGGTGGGCACAGCTCCCCTCCCTCTTCACAGAGCCCAGAATTGCCAGGGTCTAAAAAAAGGGAAACAGCCCAGATGGATTGCATCTGACTAAAAAAGGGAAGAAAAATGGAGTTTAGCTGTAGGTCAGATCACACACTTGCCCTTGCTGTGGGATACTTGCTGTGTGAACTGTCACTGCCCTGCATTTTATCCTTTTGGACTGGAGAAAGCAGCTCAGCCAGAAGTAAAGGAAATCAGTGCTGTCAGGTCCAAAAGCACAGGGTCTTCAGATCAGGGGGATTGGCAGGTCTGTAACAGCCCAGCAAACATATCTTCATCTTCAAAACACCTTTTGGTTAAGGTGGGATTCCTCTCACCTGCACTTAGCTGCCAAAACTGAGGTGCAGAGCATGCTAGCAGGTTTGGTTCATTTTATAGTCAATGAAGAGAACGATTCATATTCTTCCCAGATCACATCCAACACCATCCTGAGAGATATAGTGATGGGCATAAAGTAGAGCTGCGCAGGTTGCAGGGGCAAATCTTTTCTACCTGACTTTCTTGACACTGGGATATGAATTTATCATTGGTCACAATGAGAGTATAAACAGAGACACCACGTGCTAAAAGCTACCTGGGCTTGAATATCAAAGTACAAAAATTCCTGGGCTGAACAATTCAATCCTGTTTACATACTGTGATTGATAAAGGAAAAATTTCTTACAATTAAAAAGGATACAATTATGACAAAGCTTTATAAGAAACAGACAGGTGTAGTGAACAGTGAATTAACACTGAATTGAGACTTGATCAACAGGAATATACAGAAACTACTGAAAGCCTGTCTGTGGTCACAATTTAAAGCACTTTGCCCATTTCTTTCTGGGAAAACATTTCTGTGACTCTAATAAATGTCCTGTTTTTTGACAGTATCCTTTCTTTTACTCCCAAAAGGACAGCTGAAGAAGATTATAGTGAAACAGTATCAAAAGTTGTACAGATTGAATCTAACGCTATCTAGCAGGCAGTGGAATAAATACTGAAGGAAGCAGCAGCATGGTTTAAGCTAGGCTAAACAAAGCATGGCAGTATGTGCCCATGTGTGTTTGCAGCAGGGCCCCTTTCCTGCTCTGCCTCTGCAGTGCAAACTGCAGCTGCAGCTGTGATTTCTTGGCGAAGGGAAAGAAAGCAGCTCCAAGGAGAGCTGGTAAATCCCAGCCCGGCTTCAGGCTGGCTTGCAAATGGACACATGCAGAGGGCTGTGTCAGGATTGTGTCTGGAGCTCCAGGACCCTGCACAGGTGTATGGATCCGGGAAGGGAGAAACCAATGTCCGCTCTATGGCAGCTCAGTAGATGATTCCTTCTGGTTCCAGCAGCAAGTACTTCTTTATGGGCAGAGGGATGGAGAGCAAGGGCACTCCCCGATGGCACCTTTCTGACAGTATTGCCCGAATCGCACATCTGCACAAATGCATGAGTGACCGTGGGGAATTGCTGCACACGGTGAACAGAGAGTCATAGAAATCCTGGTGCCGCTGTAAAAAAGCCACAAACGTGTTTTAGGGCAATGAGGGTGTTTTTCTTCCTCCCCTTTCCCCTGCCCACATGTAGCCCTTGTCAGAACAAGGTCAAAAGCACAGCCTGCCATCTTGTCGCTTGAAGGCACATCAAGAACCAGGGACTTCATTTAGCCAAAATGCCTGCACAAAATTCTTATGCTTGCCTCAGATATTTAGTGTTAAGTGAAAGACGATGACGAAATATTTAGGTTTGGTCTGCAGGTTTGATATGCCTTATCCATCATTTTGAGGAGGGTGTTCCTCTGTGGTGTAAGTCTTGGACTGAACAGACCCTGCAGGGTGCCCAGGGTCAGAGCACATGGGTGAGTTAATCCTCTAAACCTCACCACGGGGCAGTGAGGCAGCACCATGCCAGTGGTACTGGGGCTGTAAACAGCAGAGTAGTTTTGGTCTTACTCATCGCTCCAGTGGCCTTCTAGAATATATGAAATTGCATCCCCATGAGCAGAAAAGTGCAGATGCTTACAAATAACATCAAAAAACCCCAAAGCAAATGGTAAATACATGTGACTACATGTGACTTGACCTTATTTTGTAATCTTGTTACTTGATAGACCTGGTTACACCTATTTTCAGGTTACACTTTATGTACAGTAAAGTATGCATTTGTGTCAACAAAAGTTTTTCTTCAATTTCATGTTAAGTTCAGCTTTGACAACAAAAATTAAAACCTCAACAAAGAAATAGAACAACTGTGACCTTTTCCAAATAAGAATGTCCCAAAATTTCAGATTAATATTTTTGTTTGAATAAAAATTTTTACTGTTATTATTATTGTTGTTGCTGCTGTTATTAAGGTGAAAAAATACCTTTAACTTTTCATTTTGTTTTCACTAAAATGATTTTTTTTTCTGAACAAATCTGACCCCAACAAAATCTCACAGTTTCTCTGGCAATATAATTCTTCTTTATAATACAGATGGAGTTCCCTAAACCTACTGACAATGTATAGCAGATATTACTGCATTTCAGCACTGATTTTAAAATTTTGGAAAAGTCCAGTATTAACAAATAACCTATCTGTAAACTGGAATATTTAGACTATGAGGATTTCTGAATTAAAGGGATAATTATGTAAAAGCATGTAACTTGTCCCACAATTTTGCCTTTTGACACATTTTTTCCTCTTTTAATCACTTGTTTTTAATTTAAATTCTCCTTGCATTTTCAGCTAAGCCATCCTGTTCACAGAAACCTGACCCATGCAACAGAACCTAAAGATACATAATCATACCCATGTTATATGGCACTTTTAAAACATTTGCTGACCTAAAAAATATATAAATATATACGTTGACAAATCTGAAGAAACACCAATACAGCCAGAATCTTTTCACTTGCTGAATACAGGGACATCTGAGCTTCTGCAGCACCACTGACAGGGGGTCCTCCAAAGGATAATGTTGCAATGAAAATGTCTCAAAAATATGTCTTTTTTTCAGTGAATGATATGCTTTTGTCAAATAAGCAATATTAAATGGGGAAGTCCCAAATCCTCTGAGATGTTCTTCTCTTTCAAAAGCATTATTTCTTTCCTATGTTTGGATATGAGTTACACAAATAATGAGCTTGGATTTTACTCAGTTACAAATCATTGAGAGCTTACCTCAAAGACATCCTCAGGTATGGCTGCTTTCCACTTGGATGTCCATTTGATATGTTCATAGGAATTGACAACGACCTCCACAGCTCTAGGATGGGAATGACAGGCTTGTAGCACCTGCAGGCAGGATGCATGGAGACCATAAGTACCACCAAGAAGCTGGGGCTAGCTTGGATGCTTGGCACTGTGCAACGAACTGAGACAGACACAGCCAAAGAATTATGAGAGGATAAGGTTGGAGACGCAAAGACACGAGGCCCTTCTACACTATTCAGCACAAGTTCAGCAAGAAACCCCAGGCTAGTCCCTGGTGGAGGTGTGCATATCCCAGTTTAACACCATACAGAAGTACTGGCTTAGATCTCCAGAGCAGTCTAGCTGGAGTGGGCTTTAGCACCCAAATCTAGAGATAACTTGTTCATAGCTGGGCTGAGTGACTTGACACCAGGCAAAGCCATGCACAGAGCCCTTGCTCCAGGTCATGCAGCACAGGAACACAATAAAATCCCTTCATATTAATCAAAAATGCATTGCTACAGCAAAATTTAAAAGAAGACCAGGAGATAACACAGGTCAGAAGTAAGGTTTTCAAGCCACACAAGGCCCCTGAGACAATTGTTCTGCCCAGTAACTTCAGCTCAATAGGGAAAAAATCCAAAGTCTATTATCACTCACCCATAAGGAATCACACTTTGCATTCACCCAATTTTGTCCCACAGAGTCACCAGATTTCACAAACAAAACTGCAAAACATCCCTCTGGGATAAATATCATCCTACATTTTTTATAGATGGGCAAATGTTGGTTTGGAAGAGACACAAAATTCATGCAACAGGAGAAAGGCAGATGTAGGAAGAGGAGACCTCAGACCTGGCTCTCAAATGAGCTCTAGGAGAGCATTGTTCTGTTACAGACAGGGCCCACTCATCCTGGGTTCAAGAGGGCACAACCAAAAGTTTGGCATTTTATTCAAAGGTTTCTGGTTCCTTGGCTTGTTAAAACTTTTTATCTACAGTGGAGGAACCGCAAAATGTTGTCAGGGCATTGGGTGAGAGAGAATAAGTCCTGACTACAGCAAGCTTACTTGGCTGTCTAGTATATTAAGACTGTTAGGTACTTCTGTCACTTCCTTGGGTTTTGCAGACATTTAAAAACTTTTCAGGAGAGATCTTGTAATTTTTTTTTTTTTGTTTTAGTCACCTATGAGCCCAGAGCCACCATTTCCCTTTAATTCTCACATTTCCTGGGAATAATCCAAAGCTTTATTGAGATGTATTTAATTTTGAATAGACTTGAATAGATTTTTAAAGGTCAGATGTGACAAACTGAATCAAGTGGTTTCATCTCTACTCTTTGGTAGAGACATGAAATATGCATTTTGTATAACTCAGTTAAGCCTGTATGAAGCCAAGTTTGACAAAGGGATATAAGTTTTCTGAAATGAGAAGGTGAATCTGCTCTGGAAAAATTAGGCTTGAACCGGCATTTAGAGTTTGGTATTTCAGGTTGGTTAAGAGCAAAAATGGGATCTGCATCTCGTTTCTGGTATGGGTAACTGTAATTTCATTTCAGTTAAATCATACCACTCTTATAATAGGTCAGCTCACAATGTTTCAGACATTGACAGGACTCCAGTAAATCCAGATACCACCAAACCCCAAAGTTTATGTCTCTCATCCCATTCCTGTTCAAGACATCACCTCTCTCCATATCGCTACTGTACAAAGGCATCCTTAACCTTATGGAATTGCAGAGGATATATCCTAGCTGCTCCATGATTCAGTAGCAGCTGGTAGCAGATGTCTGGCTGAGCAGCTGGCCGCACAGATGTCACTTTTATGATATACTGTAGGGGTGCACAGCCATTGACATCCATGATATTTGCTTCTGCTCCTGCCTCCAGCAGCATATGCAGAAGGACATGATCACAGTTCCAGGCAGCTTTGTGGAGCGGTGATTTGAAATCCTCATCACGAGCATTCACTTCAGCTTTATAGTCTAAGAGCATCCGGCAGATGAGGTGGTGATCCTGGCTGTATATCTGATCCTTATAGTGAAGGGCCCAATAGGCTGCACAGGCCAGGGGAGTCTCCATATAGGCATTGAGAGCATCAATGTGTGCTCCTTGTTCCACGTAAAAGGCCACGAGCTCTGGGACACCCAAACGTGCAACGACGTGCAGAGGAGTCTCCTCATCTTTGTTGTTTGTTCTTATGTTCACATTTGCTCCTGCCAGCAAAAGATGATGGGGGAAAAAATTAAGGTAATGAAACGCTCGTTTGACCATCTCTCTTTCTGAGCCCTCATTCCCAAGGAGAAGGTCACGGTGGGTAACTGGCATGAATGACACATATGAAAATGCAAATACCATGGATTGTTCATCTCTTAAACCCCCAAGGAGTAACTTCAGATTCTTGGATCCAGCTTCAGATGTGATAGCCTGACCCTGAGCTGGAAGAAGACCTTATCTGAACACTCTATTTTGGAGCAGCAGAAGGTCCAAATCTCTGTGTAAAATGCTTTTTTCCTACAAATTAAAAACTGCAGGAGAAAGGATCGGGTCCGACGGCCCCGCTTGTGCCCAGCGGCTGCTGCAGCTGAAGCAACAGCACCATCTGCCGAGCAGAGAGGTGGGCCCGGTCCCTCACAACTAAGACCGAGGTGCAAAGATTGCGAGGGAGGAGGCAGAGTCAGAAACTACCTCTGAGCTGGAAAACTTGAGTGCTGATGTTATTAAGCCATGTCGAGTGTTAGTCGTGTTCGATGTCCCTGAGAGAGCATCTACAGTTTGAGTTTGGAGGTGGTAACCGAACACGGGGTCAGCACTGCTTGGCTAGCAAGTCACCCCAGCCAGAGGGGGTCAAACAGCAATGACCTGAATGGATCTCGTGTGACACCACTGAGTGGATATGGCAGGTGGAAGATGCATCTTGGGAACTTTGGTACCAGGGGCAAAAGAAACCCTGACTTTGGCTGTTGGGGGGTGCTGCTGTGTCAATGTGCACACCTGACATATTCTGCTCCAGACCTTTTCCATCTTTTTTGGAGTCCCAACGCTTAGCTCATATGGAGATTTGAGTTTACTGAGTGCTTTGGGAGGAAGGGTGGCTTGTAAAGTGCTATTATACTGTTGTGGATGGGTGGGTGGAGAAAGCCTACAGAATACATCCTTTCACTTGCATTCATTCTATGATGTGTTTCATAAGAGTACATTTGACTTTTAAGCTTTTCTATCATAGCAAATTCAACTCCTGCTGTCAGGACTGTTTGCTTTGGGCAGGACACAACTGGCAGCATTTATTTTCCTTTCTACCAAACAAAATAATATGTATTTTTTCCAGCAGAAGAAAAATAATGTTGTTATTCATTTATGACTGACAATTGCCTACCCACAAAGCATACTTGGGCTCTGCATCTCAGGAAAAGCCCTCAATAACAACACATGTAGAAAAAAACCCAAAAGCATTTGTATTTGCCATGGCAGAGTGTGATAAATAGGGGGTCTTTCTGTTTGTAACTAAATACTTGAACGACCTGATTTTGCTGTATCTTTTATGTGTTTCTTTTACTACGTCCCAAGTCAGTATCCTTCTGTTAAGCAAATAGTGTCTGACAAATATATTTATGGAGGAATTACGTCTATGCATAGGTTCATTTGTTACAGATAACCATCAGTGTAACACATCTGATTTCAGGAAAACAAAAATCTTATGTAATAGTCTTTTTTTTCTCCAAGCCCTGCATAGATGCAGGAGTTTGGCTGTTGACAAATGAAGAGATGTATGAAAAACTGCATCCAATTTTTCAAGGCCAGATCTAAAAACAAGTAGAAGAATTTTACTGAGATCAAGAAAATTCAAGCAAGAAAGACAATAAGAGAAGTGCCCATTCATCTGACAATAGCTCAATACTAAACCTAGACGAAGAAAACAGAAAAAAATGCCAAGAGAAATAGAAACTCCTTGATTCAGAGGAGCTCTTCTGCTGATGGACTGATTGGGCAGTGGGCTAGAGGCACCAAACTGGGAAACCATCTTGGAGTAAGGTTCTGTGGCCATGGAAAGGGAAAGACAGACAGTGTGAGGAAATAGAATGGGAAAAACTTTCTCAGATCAAAGAGATGGGGAAAAGGAGTCTGAGATGAAGACATAAGTCAGCTGTGAATGAAAGGGATAAATACACATGTACTTTGAGAAATTGTCTCTCAAGAGAAAACCCAGACCATGCCCATCATCTCTGGCTATGCCATGAGAGACACTCCAGAGCTTTACCTTACCTCTCCAAATCAGCTGCTGGGCACAAGGCATGGAGGCTTGTGTTGTACAGAAGTGCAAGGGCGCCTGCCCACTCATTGAAAAGCAGTTCAGCTTAGCTCCGTGGTTGCAAAGGATCTTGAGACACTCGACATTTGCCATTTCACAGGCTATGTGGATCGCAGCTTTTCCATTGGGCCGGCAGTTGACTGTAGCTTTGTGATTGAGGAGGACTGAAAGACTCTCCAGATGTCCATACATGACAGCCAGATGAAGTCCAGTTGCCCAGGATATTTTTAATTTGTAGCTAGGCAGCCAGTACCCTGTACAAAGTGAAAACATGTTACCGGCCTTGGCAAACACTTTTCTTTGGACTATCCACCTACTGAGAATAATTGAAGGGGAAGAAAGGGTTGGAGTTTTGATGTAATATACTGTATTTTCACCAGCTTAGTGCACACAAAATTCTCTCAGGCATAATTTCATTTTCATTAAGCACTATTACTATATGTGCTGAATAGCCTGCCCTTTGGAGAGATGATTCCCACGGAATAGACACAATCTGAAATAAGCTATTAGATTTTTTTGTGACTTGTGTAGATTAAATAAAAAAATATTCTTAAAGGGTTTGAAATGCCACCACCTAAAAAATATGGGGGAAATGGGATCTTCAGCCTGCCAATAGCTGAACGAAGGTGGCATTAGACTAAGAAGGCAGCATTTACTTAGGATGGTGACTCAACAGACAATTCATCCTACTGTTTCTGCGTAGGAGATAGCAGGATCTTGCATGTCAGAAGCTGGATTCAGACCTCCAGGGATGCATTGCTAATAGATGAGCCCTGGCAATGTAGCTGCAGCTGTGTCAGAGACCTCCTGCCAACTACTGTCCCTGAGGAGCATGGAGGGAGAAGATTGAATGCTAATATAAATTATGTTGAAGAGCCAAATAGAAGCAGTGACACTTTAGCATGAAATTTGGCTCAAAAATGTTTGAATTTTTCTCAGAAAATTTCACAATTATTTTTTTGTTTTGTTTCGTTTACTTGCAAGCAAGTGTAAGACCAAATAACACTGAAATACTTGTTCCCAAAATAGGACTACATGCTTAATGACTGCATAGATACAGTCTCTGAAGTGATAACTATAACCATTTGCTTAAAAAAAATAAAGGACCATAACAATGATCAGAAGGGCAGGAGAAATCTAAAACTTCTTTCCTTTTTTTTTTTTTTTAAGATACAGCAGCTGCATCTTAGCTAAAATGTGCCTATAAAATTCTCTAGGTTTGATTTATCTATTTCTCCTTGGATGACTGATCTCTTCTCTGTGGTGACCAGTGACAGGACCTGAGGGAATGGCCTGAAGTTGTGTCAGGGGAGGTTTAGGTTGAATATTAGAAAGAGGTTCTTCACCCAGAGGGTGGTTGGATGCTGGAACAGGCTCCCCAGGGAAGTGGTCACAGCACCAAGCCTGACAGAGTTCAAGAAGCATTTGGATGATGCTCTCAGGTACATAGTGTGACATTTGGGCTAAGTGTTGGGCTCGATGATCCTTGTGAGTCCTTTCCAGCTCAGCATATTCTGTGATCCTGTGACCACCTGGTTGAAATCTGTTATCATGAAAAAGATATAGAAAAAAATACTCAAGATCTATAATGAGGTTAAAGTAATTAAAACCTTCCTTTTTTAGACTCTAGTTTTATGTAGTTTTTCAACCTTAATGTCACATAGATACGGTTTTACAGTATTCATGGTTGTTGTATTAGATAGAAAGAAGATGAGGAGGAAAGAAAGAGATGAAAGAAGGAAAAAGGAAACAAAGTGCTGGTGACAGGGAGAAACTGATTAATATTTTTCTTCCCTCCTAGTTAAATTGCAAATATATTTTTAGATAGGGGGAAGAAACTGCAGACATCATCTACTCTAGGACCAAATTTTGGGGACTACCAAACTCCAGTCCTCAAGGAACACTGTGAATAGCTAGCAAAAACAGGCAGCTCTGAGACACCAGAGTGCACGAGCAGGGTGATAGTGTCCTCTGAGGACACTCAACCTGCTGACTCTGCAGATTACACTGGCAGCTCTGGTAAGGCAACCTTTTCATTATATGCCCTCAAACCAGGCACAGAGTAGGTGGGCTACATCCCAAAGTCTATGCATATAGCAGAGCAAGCTTCTTAAATCACTTCCCTATCCAAATTCACATGCAGTATTCCCCTCTTGTTACCAGTGAGCTTTGGAGTACTGCCAGCTTATCCCACACAGAGCTGGGTCTCACATTTACGGCCAGATGTGAGCCATAAATTATATATTAACAGCAGGAAAGTGATCTTTAAAAGCCAAGTTATCACTTTTTATAGCCACAGACTACTGTTAATTTCCTTTGCCTGTGCTGCTGCAGGTGAACTGTGCTCGATATCCTAAGGAGCATCTTCCATGTTCTCTGCCCAAACCCATAGATATCTCTGAGCTCAGAGGGACAGAGACCAGACACTGAACGGGAAGCAGATGTGGGCTCCATGGGAGACCTCATTCAGCTTACCTGTTTCTTTGGTTAGAAACATGTAAAAGCCATGGTACAAGAAAGGTCAGTGTCTTTGAGAGCTCTCAGCCTCTTTGGAAGAGAGGAAGCAAAGACACTCTGTCACCCATGACATCTATTTTCCACTTCATCGCTTAGGGCTATGGCAAAGCTCAGACTGCCTGAATTGTGATGTGGTAGGGACAAATTTTTCTCCCCTCTTCCTCCTCAAGGAAATTCCTCTTTCATGTCACAGTTATCTGCTATTCAAAACAAAAGTAAAATTTACATGAGTGTTGATAGAATGCCTCTTGCCTTTCAGACAAGGTGGATAAACTGCTCTGATTTAGGCCATGTTGTGCATTTACCTCTCTACTTTTTGGAGAAAGGAGAGACTTCTTCAAAAGAGACAGGTTAATGCTTACAGTTAAATGATCTACAAATAAAAATCTATGCATTAATCCTGTAGTCTTAAACCACAACCAGAATGCATCTTAGCCTGCTGAGGACAGAAGATGTATTTTAAGATACATTCAGCGCTGTGTGGCTTAGTTCATACACTGTCCCTAAGGGAAGTGCATAATTACTGCATCATCCTCACTCTGAAGAAATCAAAAGAGTAGGAGCCAATCATTAAATAAGAGGTAAACAAAGAAAAGGAGTAGAGTAAGGATATTGTCCCCTCTTTATGCCACAGAAAAGAAAGTGCATTTACTGTGCTGCTGGCACTGGAGGTGTTTATCTCCACATATGATTAACTTCTGGCAGAGACTGATCATTACTGTTTGCTAAATACACACGGAGAGTCTGTTAGCAAGTAGGTCATGAAGTGTGTTGATTTTAGCAAACGGCAAACTTGGTTTATTGCTTTAAGTTGTAAGGTTTTGGAAACTCAGTCAGTGTATGGCTGAGAACTGGTTTGGGTTTTCTACACTCTGAAACAGATGTCTTTCCTGGTTTTTCCAGATTATTTTTCTGTTTTGATAAACTAGCACATCCTCACTTTCTGTCAGTTGGAAAAATTAATCTCCTCCCATTCAGTATCCTCCAAGGTCCACAGGATTTCCTTAGGTTTCCTGAGCCAGGCAGAATTCACTCTACTGCTACTGTAAATTGAAAATGGAAGACATGTAATATATTTTATGTTTCTGAACAGTCTGTATATGTGTACGGGTTCATGCAAGAAATGTATACACCCCACTTAGCCTGCATGCATCTATTCTTGGTTTCGCACCTGAGTTCTCTGCAAGGAAATAGTAAAGGACTCCTCTTTCTGGACACCCCTGAAACATGGAGGTTCAGGCTGGGCTCTGGCCTGCCTTCCATCAAACCCAGCAGGTACAGCTGATAAGCTCCCCTACTACCATAACCATGGCCATATGACCCTACTGAGACATTACTGCCTATGGATCAGTTTATGCTGCAGCTTCAGAGGAGATAAAAAGCCACAGTTTCTCGAAAATCACTCAAACCCTTCTACTTCCTGGCTGGTGAATGCTGCCACATTTACCTTGTTTGTAGGATGCCAGAATCAGGTTTTCATCTTCCACTTCAAATACTGTGTCCACATCTATTTTCTTTTGGCTCAAGAGCTCCTCCAGGGTTTCAAAGTCATTGGACTTCAGGGCTTCAAGAAAAGCTTTTTTCACCAACTTAGCAGCTGCAGCTCGAGTAATTTTCCCCTCTGTATTCTCTCCCTCTCTGTATGTCTCCTTTAAATCCATTTCCAAATGTATCTGTTTGTGCTGTGAAGAGGGTTACTCTGAAGTCCCTATAGCACAGTTGCATGCTGAAGTTTCTGAAGATCAGAAGGTAATTTTATCACTCAGTCATGCTGATCTGCTTGTTCTATTTATATGAGGAGCATTTCGGGCATCGAAATGCCACTCTTAGATATCACTAGACTCCTTTGATGAAAGTGAGCACAGAGACATTAGCAATAAAAGCAAAATAAAAGTTATCTCCATGGGATTTATACACGTTAATTAACCACCTGATTACCTTCTGCTGCTGTCAAATGCTTACATTAAAAGACACTAGTCCTGGGTGTTGTTTCTCTGCTAGAGAAGCACTTCCTTTCAGAGTTGCCATTGCTGATTTATTGGCTGCAATGGAACGTGATGCTCTGCCTGCAGATGCCTTTTAACTAGTGCAATTCAGAAAAAAAAATAATTAAAAAATCCCCAAGGCACTCTTCCCGTGGGAGATAACTCACTGTTATGGACAGCATTCTGCATGCTGGTGCTGGTTTTAGGGGTAACAAACAGTGTAAGGAGAAATGCTGGGATGAGAGGGCTGCAGAGCTGTACAGACATGTTATGAGGTGCGGGATCTCGCGCACCACAGGGGGCTTATGTGTGAGTTAACTCAGATGCAAGCACAGGAGGCTGCATGGGTCCATAGGCTCTTTTCCTTCCCCTGCTCACCCTTCCTCTAAATTCAGACCTTTTCCCTCACAACCCCTTCTCCCTCTGAACACTGCCCCTTCCCTGCCTTTTCCTGCTGTCTTTGCCAGTCCCCTGTCCCTGTATTGACAGCAGTGATGCAAACCCACATGTGGCTACCATGAGCTGCTACCATGCATCACATAGAAGTGGTTCACACCTGCACCCACTTGGGCTGCTGGATGAGACCACGTGTAGAAGGAGACTATCTACCCATGATTTATATCACCCAGCAAAGTGGACACCACCACAACTATTACAAAGAAAGCTTCATGTTTATCCTTCCTGTGAATTTGGCTGCCAAGTGGACCAATGGAGAAATGTGAGCCACATGGCAGTAGAAGTCAGAGCAGCTGCTAATCTCGTAGGGTTTTTGGGGGCCAGAATCCTCAGACAGCCCTGTATGGACCTACAGGACCCCTGTCCATGGGAATGCTCACCAGCCCTCTCCTAGAACCAGTGCTCAACAAAGGTGTTACAGGACAGCAATTTGTAGAGAACTGGGAAATTTGTGAGTTCCTTCTACCTATGTACTTTTAAATGAAGAATATTTTTAAACACTAATTCCCTGATGTTGTGCACAATCTAAAGATGCAGTGGGAAGGAAAACAGGTGCTGTAGGTCCCAAGCAGCTCATCTGGGTCTTAAGAGGAGAGTCAGAATCTCCATACCTTTACATTCCCTCCTGCAGGATTGCCTTCCTCTTACTTTGTTTCTTTCAGTAGTGGATGCCTCCACTTCTTTAAAAAAATGTTGATGCTTGTCTGGTATGAGAGGAGGAACAAGATGTGAACATCAGATGTTACGGGCTTCTTGGTACCTGCAACTTTTTTTTTTTTTTAAAACCACTATATTCCTGGAAGGTCATGGATGCACAAAGAACTGATACATGGCTGTAATCAATTGTTCACCTCAGCTACACTTTCGATTTGAAAAGGACTAGGTTTTTATCTATCATCTTCCATAAATAGTGCTGTGTGACAGAATATCTAGCTGAAAGGATCATGCTGGTACCTCACATGCTGGTCTGCTGCTTGAAGGTTGAGATGAACAAGCACGTTGCTGTAACAGATTACTGCACATCTGCTGATCCATTGTGCTTGCTCTTGGCTGACAAGGAAGGTGAAGTAATTTGTGATGGCTTTGCCCACAGTGAAAGAGAAAGCTGATTAAAATTACCTTGCATCCATCATAGTCCAAGAGCAGGCACAGGAAAGAACAGCACCTCAACTTGCTCACCTTCAGCAATTTGCGTGGCCCTGCTCTGACTCTCACAGGAATATTTCTTAATATTATTAAGTTCAAAAGAGAGAAAGGAAAGAATTGTAGATATGTTTAGCCCTTAGTGTTTTTCTGTAAGCAGCATTTGGGTCTAATCTTGCAGAAAGTACTCATGAGCGTTCTGGTTGTTTCAGTACTATTATACATAAGAATGAGGAAATGGTTTTATGTTTTAAATTGATAAACAATCAGAAACAGATTGTCTGAAGTATAATCAAAACATATTCAAGAATACATAAACACTGTAAATCGTAGGGGGGAGCAAAGGGATCAGTTTTTACTGTGCATCTGTATTTTTGTTGTCTTTGTGATTTCCTGCAGAATTCTCCCTCACCATACCACAAGGTGGCAGTTTGATTTTGAGAGTCAGCACTGATGTCATCCAAGCCCTACATGTGCCAAATATTCTGAACATTTTCCTGTGAAACAATAGCTCATCCCTTGGTTAATATAAATTACAGTTGTAGTATTTAACGATATTTATAGGTTAGACTTGAAGCCACTGTTATGGGCACTGTGCATTCACACACTGTATCTACTAAAAGAACATGGTTTCCACATTTAGGATCAATTGTCTAAACTACAGAGCTCATGCAAGGCATGTTTTTGCCAGAGAGACAACTCCAGCCCCCAAGCTCTCCTTCTGCTCCACTCAGTGCCACACAAACACCTGCACCTCAGGACAAACCACAAGCACACAAAGACCTGCACCTCAGGGGGACAGGCTGGGTTTACCCCTCAAAAGTGGTTACAGCAGGACAGAAGAACCAGTCGTGAAGGTTCACACAGCAAACAAGGGAAGATCAGACAGCCTCTTGAAGTGCACTCTGCTTCCCACTTCAGGCAATGGGACCATTTTTCCTGGCTTCAAATGGGCTGCTGGTGACCCTCTTTAGCATTATGACAGGCTGATTCTAAAGCCCACTGAAGGTAAGGGAAGTATTTCCACAGATTTCAGTTGACCATGTCCTTTACTAGGTTGGGCACCAAGCAGCAGAGCTGAGAAGGAGAATGGAGGTGAGTGCATGAGCACCACTGAGGTGGTATTATGAGAAGGATGATTGGTGGCATAGGAGTATGCATGAAAATCAGAGTTGGGACTGCTTACGAGAGGACAAGTTTAAGCAGAAAATTAGAAGAGATGTGCTGGCAGGCTGTGCAGAGCATGATTCCTGAGGAGCCAGGGCCCCTCCATTGGCACTTGCTGTTGTAGAGCAATATCCTATTGGCAGCCACATAACTCACTGTAGTGCTGGGACAAGCTCCAACAGAGTTTTGGAGGTGAAAACCAGCATCCTGAACTGTACACTAGGGCAGGCAGGAGGTCAGCAAAAGGAGAAATGCTCCCCAAAGAATAGTGGTGATGCAAGCAGAGCCATGGAGCTGTTCCTAGCTGTGATACTGAACATCCTGGCAGCCCCCCAGCAGTCCCTGACCAGACAGCCTGTTCTGCAGCAACCCTGTCCCAGTGGCAGTGCTGGGGGGTGCAGAGGTCAGCAACAGATGCAGGGTCACCTATGTACGTGTCATCACAAACGTTCTCTCCTCCTCAGTTACAGAGTGGGCCTGCCTTGCAGCAGTGTCTTAACACACCTGGCAAGTGAGGTTTCAGCTCTGCCATTCCCTCCCTCCGTGGGTGGCTGGCTGAAGGATGTTGCTTCAGCAGCAGTAACACAGCCTCCGTGTGAAGCTGTCTGTTCTGCTCTGAGGCCTTACATCTTAAGGAGGGAAGTGTACTGAAAGTCAGATCTGTGGGCCTGAAGCAAAAAACAGATCCTTGAGTTAATCCCACGCTTTGATCTCTTCTGAACAGTGCATGCTTGTAGAAATACTTTTGCAATAGTGATCACAACCCCCTTGTTCTGCCCTTACAGCATCTGCAGCATCAGACCAAGTCTGCCACGCTGCTGCCCACTCCGTGGGCAACGTTGCCTTTTATATCCCTTGTGTTGCCAAGTATATCCCTTCTTTCTTCTTGACAGCTCTCAGTTCCCAAGATGGATTAAGCACAGCCCTCTTACTAATTTCACACATTTTTTTGCTAATATTAATATTGATTTTTTTTTTCACTTCTGCCTGCTTTAGCCATCATTACATTTTATCTGATTTCCTTTTTCCAGAGTGCTGACTCTGAGTGTAAATATTACATAAATCTTCTCCATGCTTCTTGCTTTATTTCTCATTAGGAATAAAGCTCTTCAGCTGTGCCAGGTGCAAACTATCTTCTCCAGGTGCTCAGCTGTAAATCATCTTTTGAGAAAAAACCTCTCTGTAAATTCATCCCTGTGTCAGGTTAACCTGAAACCTTCTTAGTATCATTAGTTTGGAATCCTCCTCTTGTTCTTTGTTGTATTATTTCACTTTAGTTCTCATTTGCTAGGGATGGAAATAGTCTCAGACCTTCAAAGGCATTTAGATGTAAACTCCCCAAGTCACTGGAAGTCAAATTCCTAGGAGCTGGGAACCTGTGTGTCTAGGAGAGTTGGGGCCTTGTGGTTTTGCTTTCAGTCAAGCAAGTATCATTTAGAAATATGGAGCAAGTGAGGTGCTTAAGCCTTAAGGTACATGCATGTTACAAAATCAAAAGTGGATGTCAACAATCCAGAATTTAGTTCTCATCGAGCTCCATGTCTGAAGATTTCATGGCAAAAGCTTTGACCATCCTTCCACAGGTTTTGATTTGGCTTTTGTGCCTGGTATTTGCAACTTCAGCTTCAAGGATCTGTTTTCTTTATTCCTGCACATTATTCCAATTCCTGCTATCAGTCTACTTATTATCATGTCCATAAGCTCAGGGTTGGATTAGCTATTGATGCTAGAATGTTAGCTGTTGAATTTAGGATGTTTTAAAACGAGGAATAATCTCTCAAAAATTACTAGTAAGATAATTACTAGTTTTTTGTCCTAAAAAAAGTATGCACAAAATGCACTTGCTCTACGAAACAGTTAAACACCATAGTTACCAAGAGAAACGCTTGAAGGTTATTTTTGAATCAAAGGGCATGAGTGTTGTAAACAGGATGCATGTACACAGGCAGAATTTAAAATCAGGTGGACAGTATTTTCAAGGCA